AGGCTCCGTATGGAGACAGGCGCCCCATGGCAGACAAAATACTTTGTCAAGGATGTAAGTAACTAAACATAAACAGAGGAGCAAAAAGGTGAACCTTCGAACCCCAAATAGGGCCACTGCTGCATGCTTAGCCTTGAAGGGGCTTGCGCATTCCCCAGCATGAGTTTCAAGGCCTGCAGCAGATATGAGGGGGTGTATGTTCCAGGAGGACATTTTGTCTTGTCTATTTGTATTTCTTGGTATTATTTTGCACAGTGTGTACCTAAACAGAAGACAGTGCAAGATAAGTTCCTTAGTGCTTTTTTTCACAGATATCAGATGGAAAATCTTCAGCCAGCTCCCAGTGGGCTTCTCCAGATGCTGCAGGTCCCCTTGTGCTCTCTGAGCTGCTCCTCCCAAAGTGCTTTTCTCTCTCTGCTTTGTGCATGTTTGCATGTGCAAAGGAGGCTGAGAAGAGAAGTGATGGTAGTGAGAGGGTGTCATAATTTTGCAAGTGCTGCCCTCTTTGGTTCTGCTTCTATTCCTCCCCCTCCCCATTGATTTTTCCTGTGTATTAAATAGCCCCACTACAGATTCATGCCTTTTCCATTTTTTCCCATACATGTTTTACAAGTTTTGAAATGTAGCTTTGGTTTGGCTTCTTTGTAGAATCGTAGAATGGAAAGGGGCAGTTCCAGCGGCACTCCTCTGCATAGATCCCAGTGCAGGGATCTATTTTAATGGTTGTGCTGAGAGATAGTTGCCCAGTCTCTGCTTGGGCGCGTACCACAGAGGGAAACTTAGTAAATCCTTCTTTCTTTGCTTTTCTGGAATCTGCCGAGCTGAAATCTGCCTTGCTGTAACTTACGACCTATCCCACTCTAGGGCATTAGAGAACAGGTCGTGACTTTCCTCCAAGTGACACCTTTTCAGGTACTGAAGTGTGATCATCTCTCTCACCTGCCCCTTAACTTTCCCCAAGGCTGATCATGCCCAGTTTTCTCAGACTCTCGTAAGGCCCAGATTTCACTCACCTGATTGTTCTTGTTGCCCTTCCCTGCATTTTTCTTACAATGCATCTGGAACTAGGCAGAGTATTTGGGGATGAGGTTTAAGCAATACAGAATGTAGAATGAGTAATAAGAGTTGAGAGGGGAGGTGTTGGTCAGTCTGGCATGTTTTACTTCAGCATCGGTTCTGTAATTTTTCAGATTGATTTATATATCTAGGAACTCAGGAAAAAGGATAATAGAAGCACATATTGCCCATGTCCCATCAGTATAATGTGAGGAAGTTAAGAGCCAAGTTGCTAAATTTTGTCTATTCCCTCTGTGCATACAGCATGGACTACTCAAAATACATCACAATGATTGACGTGATATTCTTTGTCAAATATTAAGTTGACAAAATTTTCATACATAATTTTCTTTTTTATTTTAAAACTTCTGTCTGACTTTGGATTGTAATAAACTTGATCTGTCTACTTTCTTAATAACACAGTATAGTCACTTGTATTCCTTGCATTGCTGATGGAGATTGGCCGTAGCTAAGAGAGCTCATGGCTGGAATGGGATTTAACAAGTCATCTTGACTTATAACACAAGTTTAAGTCGTTAGCCCAAGCTGTAATGTACTAGAAGAAAGTTCCAAAACTGGCACCAGACTAGATTTACCTGCTGGGCTTTTAAGATTCAGATGGCCCATTAGCTCTCTTAGATAGAATACAACCCATAGTTTTCTGCTATGAGAATGGGTCACAGTGATTCCTGGGCTTCCATAACTGCTTTTTTCTATTTCCTCTCATGCCCACAAGAGGGCAGTCTTCCCTTATGTTTTAATTCATCCACAATGGTCTGTGATGTCCAAGCTTAGTCTGTTGTGGCTTTCAGCTACAATGAGTGGGAATAATCAAATTATAGTTTGGGAACTTATGGGTTAATGATATACAAGACTATAGACTATTTAATGCTTAGGGCAATGAGTGTTTTCTGTTGAATTAATATGGAAACCATTCAAGCATTCAATCTGTTCTGTGTTTGCAGGGAGATGGCTGGGTTTATTATAACCCTCTCTGGAAAAGAATGCCTGCAGTACAAAATCATGAAGTGGACACTAACTAGATGCATTTCTTCAAAATAATTCTTCTCTTTTGTCTAATCTCTACAACTTCCAAAATGCTGTATCTGACTATGAGTCCTTTTGGATTTTTATACAATTGCACAAAATTAAATAAGCAGAAAAGAATAAAACTTCTAGGGCACTTTAAAGTTGTAGAAAATCAAAAGGTAGAGAAAGAACATTTCCAGCTATGTTTCTGCTCCCTCATTTAAAAAAACAACAACCTTATATGGCACTCAACATTTTATTTGAACATTGTCTTTTTAAGCACACTCTGCAAAAGCTGCCTAAGATTTCTTTTTTAAAAAACAAACCTAGATGCAGTGGCATTGAGAATTGGCCAGGCTATTTTGCTCAAATGGATATATATCCGGAATAAAACCTGAACAGTGTTTTAAAATCTGGGCTTCGGTTTGCACCCATTTCTGAACTACTCAGTGCTCCTATAAAGAGAAGCCATCTTTTGCTGCTCTGGATCACCTTTGCTGAAAACCACGAAGAGGAAACTTTTCATAGATCTGACCTTGGAATCAGTGTTATGAGATGCCTGGATCAGAACTTGACACTACTTTTTAAAGTTATTTCTTGGAAGCAGTATGTGCATAGCAGTGGAAGAATGAGGGATTCATGTAAGCTACATCATATTTAAAGCATTATAAAGTAGTTTAGAATTGTAAGTAAGGGGTTTTTCCTGTCTACAAAAGAATAAAGTGGGAGAGGAAGATGGGGCAGAGGTAAAATTCAGACCAATTTTCGGCTGATTTTTTCAGCCTCATTTCCTTAGTGAGCTGTTTGTAATTGTTTCATGCTGTAAATACCATGAAAATATTTAGTCTCCTTATAAACAAAGGTTGAGACTTGAATTATGCAACCTTTTTTTTTTTAAAAAAAAGTTATTTCCTTTATCTCTCTGCCCCTCCCTCTCCTTACTCCTTGGATCATCTGTAAAACAGAGTGAGTGTTCTAAGCTGTCCAGGCAAGTAATTTCATTTCTCTTCTCTGTTCAAAGTGAAGCATTTGTGTGTGCCCATCAAGTAGAAGGACTGTACCTTTAGTTTTTCTATAGAACCTGAAAAGGCTTGCTTTTTTGCTATGGGAGTGCATACAAAACCAAATGCAATCTGATATCAGGAACCCATGGTCAGGTAAAAGTATCCCTTGTTTTTTATATTACCAATATTTTATTGAAGTCCAAGAATTGCTGGCAATTAAGAATAGTACTGATTTATGGCTTTCATTCTTATTACTATGAGCTACCTTAATTTTTCTAAGAGTGGTGCCTTACTCTATTTCTTATGATGTAGTCTTCCAATCAGTGTATATACCATAGTCAACAAAAAACAGCCTCTCCCTACCATCATGAAAATATGTGTGTGTGTGTGTGTGTGTGTCAAGTGCTTTTATTTTTCCTCCATGCAGAGGGATATATTAGTATATTTAACCATCCAAATGTGGTTAAATAACCATGCTCATACTCCACAAAGGCTAAAAAGAACTCAGAGGAATGAGTTTGGGGTTTTATGCATACTGGCTGATATTCCCTTGTATTTCTTTTTCTTTTTGCCGTGAAATGCACTGAAACCTTACTGTGAGTTGTGTATGATACCATGTGTGATTAATGGGGAGGGAAGGAAATAAAATGATCAAAAGGAACTCTGTTTTCTCTGCTTTAATAATAATGAAGTAATCAATGCTGACTGCACTTGGAGCTGCAGAGGGTGGTAGCCAAGTTTCCAGTGCCTAAGCTAATGGCTTTTAATTGCTGATAGTATCTCTCTCCCTCCTCCCTTAAAAACTCACATGCCAGTTTATGGTGATTCTGGCTAATTGAATGAGATACAGTAAGCAAGCTCTCAGCTTTCAGGCTCTTTAGAGTTCTGCTGAGTAACAATCTACTTGGAATATTGAACTTTCAATGAGACATGCTAACCAGAAGGGGAAAAAAAAAAGTCGCTTAGACTATTCATCATGATTTAAAGCAAATTTATCCCAAATAAGTCTCACCAGGTTCAACAGAACTTAGCTTCAGTTATGATGCATGTTGCAAAGAGTTATACGTACATAAATAACTGAACCTTGTACACGTAGAGATTTTTATGATATGATTCATTTGTAACTCAAGCCTTATATCAGGGCTGGTCCAATGAATGCCCTGAATTCAGGAGGAGGACTAAGGTACGTATGAGGAGGATGTTTGTGCTGAAAAGTCCTGACTTCTGTTCAGAAACCCACATGTATTGGTTTGAAATCCACTGTCCGTTTATGGTCCATAAATGTAGAACAAAAGAAAACAAGTGAATTATATTTTCCTCAGTTAAATAAAATTCCCTGGCTGTGAGGGAAAAAGGATGGTTTCTAATTAAAACTTGCAATAAGGTACTTCAGGATTGGGATAGCAGATTTAGATTTTGGACTCATATTGGTAACACTTTGAATGTGGTAGCAAAATGGTTCTCAGCAAGGTGGTTGGGTTCACGCATCCCGTTAAGTGATTTTTAAACCATTGTTAAACCCATAATGGCCTGGTTCCCATATATGTAAGTCATTAACCATGGCTAATAAGTCATAACAACTGTTTTTACATATCACACTAAACCAAGACCAAACTGTAATCTGACTTTGTGCATTGTTCGATTCTGTATTAAAACCAGGAAATCCATGATAAAAGAATTTGGTTTTTAAAAAGAGTAAAAATGTAATGTTTATATTTTCATTTCATTTCATTT